ATTCAGATGCATGTGTCTCTTGGGCGAACCCTCCCTTCAGGGGTGATGAGGGGGCGCTGACTCCAGTCTCAGATGGCTCTCACCAGCAGCTGGCACGGGATGCAGAAGCTTCTGGAAGGGGAAATCCCTGTGACCTGCCTCCTTCGAGGCACCCTGTCACCGTAGAGGGTGGGCATCGCCAAGGCAGGAGTGTCAATACGTGACAGTGGGGATCCCGTCGGCCAGGGGCTCAGGGACCGGCAGAGCCCAGCTTGTTATCATGGGGTCCTTTCCAACTCCCACCCCACCACTGGGTCACTCCGTGGGGTCTCAGGGAAAGGAGCGTGGGTTCGGCATGGGGCTGCTTACAGCCAGGCCGAGGTTCCAACCCAGGAGCTGCTCCAGAGGGAGAGAGGCGGCTGTCTGCTCCCAGAAAGATGTGCAGCCTGGGAAACACTACATGGGGCCACAGCTGAGTTGGACTCCTGGCCCGATGAATGTGGGCTTGGGCTGGTTTTCCCTGTGAGTCCCTTACCGAAGCACAGCACCGGGCCTTTCTGCCACAGCACCACACTGGGCAGAGCAAGAGCTGACCAGCAAACCTTATCTTCTTCCGGCAGAGAGGCAGCCCCGGCGCCTGGGGTTCTGTGAAACTTCAGACTCCCTGCCTCCTTGTGATAAGGGGCAAATGCATAAGCTGTAGAGGGGGTGGGGGCTGTGGGGCTGTCTCTGTACCCCTCTGAGTGCAGGTGGGAAGCCACAAGGGAAGAGCTCAGGCCTGCCCTACCCCTGACACTGGGGGCCCGGTGAACTTGAGGCAGGGATGGTGGGGTCCTGGTGCAAAATGAATGGTCCAGCAGCTTCCTGCCTGGGTGAACACAGCTGCCCTCCCACTGTCCTGGCTAGCATCTACTCTAATGACACAATTAGTCATCCTCTTGTCAAGCAAGCACCTGCTGGAGGGGTTCTGGCAGAGGGAAAGGCCTTCTCCCAGTAACTCCTCCTCCCCTCCCCCCAATCAGACCCCCGGGCAGGCTTCTCCCCAGCATCCATTGTCCTTAGCAAAGGACAGAGATGTAATGGGTATTTGCTGGCCCCTGACAACACACCCTGTAGCACCAAGCTCTTGCTATTTTTACCACTGGTGACCAGACATGCCTTCCCAGACAGGTGCTTAGGAGGAAGAGTAAGCCATGACAATAGGACTCTGTGATCTCGCCCCCGTGGGTGGTGGGTGGGGCCTGGCCGAGGGTATGATAGTCCGGCAGCATGGCCGCCCTGCCTGGCAACCAGGCTTCCACTGGACAGAGAAACAAACAAAAAACTCACTGCCTGCAAGCCAATTCTGACTCACAGCGAACTGATAGGTGAGGGTAGAACTGCCCTGAGTTTCTGAGCCTGTAACCCTTTATGGGAGCAGACAGCCTCATCTTTCCCTGCCGGGCAACTGGTACTTTCGAACTATAGCCCAATGCCTAACAGGCCAATGATATCTCGATAGCACATGCTATGGAGGTATCAATGCCTCAGGTCTGGGTGTTCTGAAGCAAGCACGAAAGAGCTGAGAGTACTTGAGGGGACCCTGGCCCAGGGCTGGAGGGCTGGCCTCAGGGTGCCTGCCCTGGAGTGCTTCCAGGGCACCTGTCCAGGCCAGGCTTACCTGCAACCCAGGAGGAGCTGCCCAAACCCCCAGTTTGGAAGGGACGATGAAAATGACTGGCAGGTCTGGGGTCCCTTCCCAAACACCCCCCCTACCCCCCACCCCCGCCCCCTCAAGCTGGGACTTGAACTTGAACTGGATGTAAGGCAGCCCTTCCTTTCTCTGCTTCTTTAAGTCTTATTGTTACTGCCAGTTCTGGACCAGTCTGCCCTGCGGGCCTCCAGGTGTGACACAAACCCACTGATCCCAGAGGTGTGGGGTGAGGGGGGCTGAGTCAAGCCCCCCTCACCCCCCACCCCATATGGGAAGGAGGAAACCTGCTGGGGGCTAGCCAAGGAGAGGCGGAGAAAAGGTCCGGGCGGAAAACAGCAGAACAGCAAGGGTTCACCAGGCCCTCCCCCCACGCAGCCCCTCCCAGGCCTTCGCAGGCCCGGAGGCGGGGTGAGGGGGTGGGAGAGAGGTCGGGGCCACGGAGTCTCTGGTGGGAGGGCCCTGGTCCTACCTGCCCTGTATCGGTGGCCTCCTTCGCCTCAGCCCCCACGGGCTCCACAGCCGCAGGCTCCTCTGGCGCTTCCTGGGGCGCAGCCGCGGGCTCCGGGGGCGCGGG